GCGGGCCCAAGGACCGAGCCCTGGGGGACTCCGCTGCCCGCTTCCCCCCAGGTCGAATATGACCCATCCACCACCACCCTCTGCATACAACCCTTCAGCCAATTCGTAATCCATCTGACCGTGTAGGCATCGATGCCACAGTCACCTAGTTTTTTAATGAGGATGGGGTGGTCAACAGTGTCAAAGGCCTTGCTGAAGTCCAGAAAGACTACATCCATGGCGACACCTGCATCTAATGCTTTTGTACCTGAGTACCTGATGTGCTGATGAGTGATGCACAGGTAAGTTTGTGGGGAGAAAAGGAGGGGGAAGATCAAGGCAGAGGGAGAAAAAAATATTTGGGTGCGCACCCCCCCCAGCATGTAAGTCTGTGGGGGAAGGGATAGGGGGAAGAGAAAGGGCCATGGGGGATGAAGATCGAGGCCCCAGCCCTAACGGGGAGGAGGGGACATGCACCTTGGGAGGACATGGGGGGGGGGGGGGGGCGGCCCCCGCACTTGGGCGATCAGTGGTGGTGCTGGGAGTGGGACTACGGGGGGCTGCAGCCACCCAAAATATTGCTGTAGCCCCCCTGAATCTCTCCCAGCGCTGCCACTGCCTGCCCCAAGTGCAGCCCAGGATCAACTAAAAAAGGCTCCAAGATTGACCAGTTGATCAGAATCGACTGGTTGCAGACCACTGCTTTAGCCATTTTTGTTGCCTTCTGCTGGACTCTTTCCAATTTGTCCACCTCCTTTCTGTAGTGGGGGCCCCAAAACTGGACAGTTCTCCAGATGTGGCCTCACCAGTGCCAAACAGAGGGAATAATCACCTCCCTTGACCTGCTGGCAATGCTTCTACTAACGCGCCTGGTATGCCATTAGCCTTCTTCGCAAGGGCATGCTGTTGGCTCCTATTGAGCTTACTGTCCACTGTAACCCCCAGGTCCTTTTCTACAGAGCTGCTGCTTAGCCAGTCAGCCTCCAGCCTGTACTGGTGCATGGGATTGTTCCATCATAAGTGCAGGACTTTGCACTTGTCCTTATTAAACCTCATGAGATTTATTTTGGTCCAATCCTCCAATTTATCAAGATCTCTCTGAATCCTAACCCTACCCTCCAACCTATCTACTACTCTCCCCCCCCAGCTTGGTGTTATCTGCAAACTTGCTGATCCATCCCACTTCCAAGTCATTGATAAAAATATTGAACAAAGCCAGCCCCAGGACCAACACCCTGGGGCACTCCACTTGATAGCAGCTGCCAACTAGACATTGTGCCATTGATTACTACCCTCTTAGCTCAATGATCCAGCCAGTTTTCTATCCACCTTACAGTCCATTCATCCAACCTGTACTTCCTTAGCTTGTGAATCCAGAAGCCAGTGTCCATTTCCTCCCCCAGCCTGCCCCCACACCCCAAAGCAGTCTGGCATGCTGTGGACTGTGCTCAAGTGCAGACAGTGGAAGTTAGTGGAACTGAGGCAAGCACCACTCTTGAGTTCAATCAGTTGCAGGCAATTGAAGCATATTGAACTCCCATCTGGAAAAGAAGGGAAAATGAAAACAGCCACAGCTCCAGCAGAAAAGTGAAAAATACTCAAGCTGAAGCTCAGCCAGACCTGAGAACTCAGAAGCTGGGGTCAGAGGAGGGGGGGAGGGCTGATGAGTGATGCACTGCGGGATGCCTGGAGGGCCAGCCAGACCCCAGTCACAGGTTTTTGAGTCATGGTGTTAAGATAGAGCACAAAACAGGTTTATCTACTAATAGATTGGTGGTTGTTTCTAAATGTGTATTTAATAGAAATCATTGCTGCTTTAGGCTCCCATTATGACAGCCTTGAGATGCACCTGTAGACACACGATAGGGTCCGGTTAGCCCTGCCGACCGTGACCTTGCATTGTCGGCCCATGTTCATCTTGAGAATTTTCCAGTTGTCTCTTGCCCTATTGTCCCCCACCCCTGACTCTGTGGCTGCATCCTCACAAGTGTGGACATTTGGCTTTCTGGAGGCAACTAGTAGCGGGACACCTTGTGCTGCTGCTAGTTGTCCCTGGGGGACTGCCTGTGCCATGCATCCTCTGGTGTGTGGCAATGTACCCCAGGTGGGGGAAGGAAGGGTGGGGCCAGCATTGAACTGGCACCAGCAGCCTCACTTGGAGTCCTGGGAGCCTCCTGGGGCTGCAGCAGTGGTGATCCTACCAGCAGCTGGAGCATGGCTCTGGCCAGCCAGGCTCTGGCTTTGAGTGGTGCATACTGCACCCATGCGCACCGCTCTGCTTTTTTTTGTGCAGGTTTTTCTGATCCCTGGACGTCCAGGGGTCAAAAAAAAAAATCCATGCTGTTCCACTGCAGCATGGAGAACACCTGAATGTGCAATATGTGGCGCCATGGACCAGTGCGCAGCACCATATACTGCATGTCTGTGCTCATCTGGATGTGGCCTGTCACTTCAGTGAGCTTTGGACCTGGCTCCAAGTGCTTAAAGTTTGCTTTTTTCTCCCTCCTCCCCACACACACCTGACTATCACAGATCTTCCAATCCTACTTCCATTTCAGGCTGTTACTCATACTGCACTGCTCTCACACTTTTGCCTCCCCCTGCTTCAGGGCATTTTCCTTCACTACCCCAGCTACATCCCCCCCCCCACCTTCTTCTGCCACTACAACCTCAGGCTTCTGTCAGCCATGCTTTTGGCTAACTTATTAATGCCACACTGCTCTTACATTCCAGGCCTCTTGGTGAAAGCAACTGCAGGTGAAACAGACAGAGACAAATGCAGATCCAAAAATGTATCAGTGAGGTAACACAAAAAATAAAGACTAGTGAATACCAACTCCTCCTCCCCACCAACGCTCTGTGGGACACAGCTGTACGGAAAGGTTTCACGAGGAAAACAGGGGAAAAGGGCCTATTTAGTTCAGCGTGAAACTTTTTTTTTTTTTTTTGCATTAAAAAAAATGCACTGCAATTTCTATTTAGTTCCTGTTTCACCTGTCCTGGGCAATCCTTGGAGCCAGGCTGAAAGATAAATGCCTAAGTGAGGCTAATACAATGTTCAAACAAGGTTAACAAAAGTAGAGAGAATAAGTTCCATCTCCACAGATGGAACAATTCACTTCAGCAATTTTGTTTAAAATCAATGAGGTGCAGCACCCAAATGGAATCTGCCAGAATAGGAAAGAGGGAAAGATATTCTTGACATGTATTAGCACCAGGTCAAGTTTTCAAGGGTAAACTGACAGGTTCCCATTGCAATCATTAGACTTATGTTGATTGACACCAGTTAAAGAGCTAACACAACTAGCAAATGAAACTGGTCCAGGACGCCATTTAATATGAGATCGTGTTTCCAGACCCCACTGAGCTATTTTGGCACAGGTAGGAAATGCTAAGCTGAGGTCACTAATTTGGATCACAGTGAGCAAGAGGTCACCCTGTGATTTAGGGAATGAGGTGTGTGCATGCACAAATGAACATGTAATGAAGACAATAAGAATGGGTAAGTCTGCTCAGTAGCCAGGAGACTTATTTCTAAAGCTATGAAATGGCAATAAAAATTGATTTCAGGATCCATCCCTGCAAATACTTACCTTCACTGCAGCTAAAAACCTGTCCAAAAGACTGACGGCCAGAGCAAGTGTTTCTGGATAAAGATGGAACTGGTATTTGAGCTTGGCCAGCCACTGAATCACCTCATCCCGCTGTGCTGGAGAAACGGCTGCGTCCTGTGGAGGAAAAACAAATTCTGTTCTTCAGCACTCAATCAAGAGGCTGAACAAGCTGTGCAAAGGCAAAATATTTACACATGCAGATTTTAACACCAGCTGAAACAACACCCTGTTTGGATATGGTAAAAGGGAGCTTTTAAGCTACCCTCCATTTTTGTACCTGTTATTAGTGGTCACACATGAAGCTATATTTACATCCAATGACCTGGTTTGTGGCTGCACCAAGGTGTTTGCAAATGGAACTGAGACGAATGGCAGGGCAGATTTTTAAGATCTATTACCCAAACATATACATATAAAAATTCAAAGCTGTCAGTTGTATGCCTTGATGGCTGAAAAGGCTATAACAAGTAATGTCAGTTCCTTTTTAAATAAAAACTACATAAAGAAAAATTAATCACTTCTCCCAGGGAACTAGGTGCAGCTCAACACACGTGGAATTCATTCTTGACAGTAACCGTGGGAGTAGTCCCATGAGGTACTGAGTGCCCTGTGCTCCCGCTGGATTCAACAGGATTGGAGGACAGTCACCACCATACACAATGAAGTGCTACAGTCCCTATCCTGCAAACTGCACCATGACAGCAAACACCTGTCTTTCATGACCTCCCTCTTCCTCTCCCTTCATAAAAAGGGTCCAGTTATGCAAGGCTCAGGCTTACTTGAACATCCAGGAGGAATACTGCCTCTCTCATGGGCCTATTTTTAATGAGTCTTAGAGAAGCCCTCTCCAGCTATATCTGAACAGCAGTATCTTCTCTACGTTAGCTTGGCATTTCAACAAAAAGGGATCACCATCCAAACTTCTGCATGTCACCAAATGGTGATTTTGGAAGCTCAAGACATTGCTGTATGGCTTTCACAGTGAGAAACTTCTATGACAGTCATTGATGCTCTACCAGGTTGGAGAGAAAACAGTCTGAAGCTAGCTTTCCAAAATCTCTGTATACCTGGAAAACCAGGTCAAGCCCCCTGACATTATTAATTTCAAGAAAGATTCCCATTATCCAAACTTTTGTTGATCAGGAGTAATTTGATATGCTCTCTTTGCAGGCAGATGAAAGATTAGACTGTAACTAAGAGGAACTATTATTGTTCAGTCCCATTGGAAGCATCCCAAGGTAGCTGAAATAATCACATAATTCAAGGTTTTTGCTGTTGTTGCAAAAACGTTCACTCAGCAGGTTTGTCAGATGTTCTTTGTGCTGTTTTAAGATACACTTTCGAGAGACAAAGCTCTGCTGTGCCCTGTGCTAGTGGGGGTTGGACTTTATGGCTTTATGGTCAAACAGACTTCTCCCTTGCCAACAATCCCTTCCAGACTTCTCCCTTCCAGTCTCCTGGAATATGAGTAGTGCAGGATTTGGTAACACATTAGGTGTTGTAGCTGACTGAATAAAAGACCTACAAAGGCATTTTAAGGCTTAGCAAGTCTCCCTATTTGAATAATGTAATCAATTACTGAGCCATTTTAGATTTTTTTTTTAAATCTTCCCAATAGAAAACAAAGTGCCATTTCTGATCATATTGGTTCTGCAACACCTGAAATGCCATTTGTGGCTGTTGGCTAGAGAGATGAAGCACCAACCCCTTGGGCATCAGTCATCTACCAGTTCATTATGTTGAAACTACAATGAGATTTGTCATACCAGTAACCTATAAGGCTCTGGCATCTTCCAGACTGCCAGCTAAAGGCAGACATAGACAGATAATCCAGCCACAAGTGAAAGGAATAACACTGTGCTCTAATATTTCCTTCAATGCACATGGCCCTAGTCAACATTTTGAATATTTATAGATATTCAAAGAATCACTGTAACCTGATTTCTGCTCTATCCACAACAGCTTTTCTACAGTACATGGTTATATTTTTCTGTACTCTTAACTCAATGGGACTGATATTCATAAATATTGAGTACTGACAACTCCTACTGGCTGAGGCATGAGCCCAGGAAGAGAGGATCTGACCAGCCATTCAAACATCACTTTGTGCAACACGTTACAGGCAGCTATGGACTTTTGGGAAGGGTATAGGAAAGGCGTGAAACCTCTAACAATACTGACTGACTATCTCTGTCAAAGCTCAACTCCCCAACACGTGGGCCCCAGTGACTGTGCTCACATGTAATCCCAGCAATACAGTGGTCCCTGTATCTGCTGTGGGGAGAATTTTCTTTCCCCATCTGTTCAAGTCAACAAATGAGATTTGTCAGCATGTCAAGGCTTGGCTTTGCATTTAGCAAGGGGTCCTGGACAGGACAGGCATAGGCCCCTGAAGTAGGGCAGTATTGTCAGCACTTCAGAGTTGGTGGAAACTGGTGATCATCACTCAGGCCTCCAGATGCCCAAGCCCAGTGCCCTCTAGACCACAGAGTTCCCCGAGAACCAGCAGCCCCACAATGCCTCAAACTGTCTGGGTTTTCTTTTAGATTTTCTCAGTGGTATTGCCAAATGTGAAAATGCCACTCGATTTGCACAGAAAAAATCCCCTGTTCAAAAGGCCTCACACCTTAAAGGCCCTGAAAATTTTGATCAAGCTAGCATGCCTTATAGCACCCCAGTTTAGCCACTACCAAGATATTACTCAGCTGTACAAACCAAGCCATATCCAAACGAGAGCTGGCTAGCTACTGAAGCTTTCAGCACACAGTTTCTGCTAGAACTTGCAGGACAAGTGTAGGGAGGTTTGAGGAGTGGCGGAAGCTCTAACAAACTAACGTTTTATCTACACAAACTGCACTAAAGATTTCAGCAATAAAACTGTCTCAAGACTCTAACCAGACATGGAAAATTTGCCTCTGTCCCCCGCCTTTTTTTTTTTTCTTTCCCCTCACTGAAGCCAAGAGCGACTGAAAATGGGTTTTTTTGACAGAAGTTACATGAAACCTTAACTATTGTAGTTACTGCTCCTAGTGTTAAAAACATTCTGTTCTGCTTAGGCTCCGAGCCCCAGTTCCTCTTCTGAAATATTTGGAGCAGCCTGTACTGCATTTCAGAAAACCCACCATTCCCACTTCACCTTGGGTGATTTTAAGCTTGCTGAGTGAGGATGTTGTCTAGAGAAGGGAAGGACCAATCACATGTGCTTTATCCACCAGGGCAGTGTCCTTGAGATCCCTGAAGCAGTTAAAAGGCTTGCTAATATGGTTTCAAAATTTTAAATCAAATGCTGACTGCCAAGACATTGTGGCAAGCACAACTAAGCACTTGCACAAACAACAGCCAATGCTGCACTGAATTGTTGGAGGCTGTTTTGCTTTTCAGCAGAAAAAGGAACAAAAAAGGGGAAAAAAAGCACACAAATACATTTTTTAAACCAAACAAATACCCACCATCGAAACAATAACTTAAGTTGTCTCTTTATTATAAGCACTTTATCAGAACAGGAACATCAGCCTACTAAGCTCCCAATGCGCCAGACCAGTAAAGCTGATATACTGGTATAGTAAAACTCGTTACATCTCTGGCTGACAAAACATCCCAAAGGGATATGAATCTATAGCACAGTGTTTATTATACACACATCTCTTCTCCTTCTAGAAGTTAGAAAGTTCATTTGAGAGAAAGCAAAGCATGAGATAGATCAGCCTAATAGAGCACTTTTTACTCTGAAGTCTAGCCTGCACCATTTTTGTAGCAACTTAATTTTTTTTAAAAGGGGTGTGAATTTTGAATTCAATGCATGGGTCTACTCGCTTTAGGGTTGCAGCTGTACACAGTATAAGCCTGCCTTGTATCATCAGCAACATAATGACTCACAACCATAATAGTCACCTTTTTACTAGTATAACTCCATCCACCATGCACACACTTAACTATGCCAGTTATAATTAAAGCATTACAAAGACTGTGTTGGAGAGCAGACCAACTAACTCCCTGGATAATTCCCCACACATACTGGGAAGAAAGATAAAGAGAGCTCAGCTAACCTTCCCAGCAAAGCAGCTGGCAGGGTCATCATGCAACAAACAGTCCCTCAGAGCCAGAACCCCGCCTGAGACTTTCCCACTCGGGTAGGTGTAGCATAAACCATTTATTTTTCAGCCTGCATCAGTTTTTCCTAAGGATGCTTGACAATGCTGTGGATGAACTCTGCATTTTAGATGTGTGGTTTTGAAAGCACAGCCGGTTAAATCAGTTACTGGTGCTAAGAGACAGTTCCTAGGTTTAATGAACATTTCAGAAGGAGTGAAAGAAAGGAGGATGAGATTAAAGTGCTGGACTGGAAATCTGGAACTATGGGTTTCATATCAAAGCTTTCCGAGATGTCACTTAGCAATCAGCACCTCACTAGAGTTAAATCAGCATGGATACACTGCCATGTTAACTCAGCTATACTGCTCCCAGCTCTGGAGCTAGCGTGGAAATATACCCTTTATACACCTACTTACCTTTATGCATGTGCTCAGGCCCATTGAAATTACATTAACATTAAGCAAGAAGCAAGGATTTCTTTGGGTGATATATTTTATTAGATCAACTGAATGGCTCAGATAGAGTTAGACAAGCTTTTGAGTACAAGACATTCTTCTGTTGAAAGCTTGGCTAACTATCCCAACTGTGTAGCTGATCCAAAAACCAAGGCATCACCCCCTAAAATCCTTGCTTCTCACATAATTCATGGACCAACATAACTACAACACTTTAACACTACCATTAACATTAAGCACATATGTAAGTGCTAAATATTTCCTTTCTATTTAGCTCCCCATGATCACACACAAGACTTACATACGAGTCAAACTTTGCATTTAGCCTCAAAGGACTACTCATGGTGCCTACATCTAGGCACACTTTGCAAAAAGTGGGGTGTTCAATTTACAATATACCTAATCTCTGCCAGAAATGGGTCCCTGATCACAGCTGAAACATCTGCATGCCTCTATAATAAGAATAAATACCCACCACCACATATTTTCAAGTGGATCTGTCATATTGGAAAGGATAGTATGTCATTAATTCCATAAAATAATAATCATTTTAAAAGTGCCTGACCT